ACTTGAACCTTCAACTTTTTGGCAGCCATACATATTTACCATTTGGACCACTCAGGACTCCAGGAATCTAATGAGAGGATACTTATAAAGCACTTTTCATGGCCCCTGGCATACAGTAAGCACTCAATAAGTAGTGGCAGATAGTCCTGTGGTGTAACCTTCTGGCTCACCTGGCACTGGCAGGGCCTGAGGAAGGAGGCTGGTACAGAACAGGAAGACCTCGGTTCAGACCTTTCAAAGAGAAATGGATCACTGGCGGCACCCCTCAAAAACCTCTCTAAACGTGGAGACGGCCAGAGAAATCACTATTAATGCATAGTCTAGTGGTTTTTAGCCTGAGAGTTGTCTTAGGCCTAATTGACAAGGCCTTGAGGCTAAGGTTTCTTTATTTTTATGTCCTTTATTTTATGTCAGGCTGCTGTAGGTAATCAATAAGTATAATAGACATGGCTGTTTGATGGGTGTTTAGAAAAGAAGGTGGCATGGTTTTGTGGGCAGGATATTCACCAGACGACCCTGAACAAATCCAGTACCTTCCTTGACTTAAGTTTCCCCGTCTGTAAAATGAAGGAGGTAGGCCAACTACTCAGTTCTTAAACTGGGTCTAGAAAGTCTAAGAGTTAAATGTAGATACTGTGTGCACACATTTTTGGAGGGGAAAAGTGCATAAACCTTTTCTCTGGTTCCTGAAAGGGCCTTTGACCCCTAAAGTGGTTTGCCTAGGTGACATCGTAGGGCCATTGGACCCTTCCTGACCTGGGACTCTGATTAAAAATAGTTTCTGAGGCCCAGGAAGTGAGTTCATGGCTTTGAGCAGGCATGAGGGCTGAGGAAGAGCTTCGTTAGAGTTTCTCAGCAGGGCCTTGCTGCCCAGTACTCTGTGGTTCTGTTTCTCCACAGGCCCCCTGCCTGCCCCTCTCCTGGATGGCTCCACGAGAGGGCTAACTTATCCCCTGCTTACACGTTGTCCACCCCATCAACAGTAGAGTAAAATCCAAATCCTTCATCATGCCTACCTGATCAAGCTCCCACCTGTGTCTTTGATGTTATCTTCCCCCACCCCCTTGCCCACTATACTGCAGCCTAGGATTGGATCTTGGCCTTTTCTAGTTCCTCTACCAAGAATCCTCTTCCCTCTCTGGACTCCTCCACCAGCACACTGGTATGTTTCTTTAAGAACTTACTGAAACAATGTGTATGAAATAAATATGATCTTACTTGGTTTGCTTCCCTCACTGTCATGTCTGCCTGTACATGTTGTTGTTCTTGTTGTATTAAGTGCTCTGGAGCTGGTCCCAACTCAGTAGTGACCCTGTATAGGGCTTCCAAGGAGCAGCTGATGGGTTTGAGCCACCAACCTTGTGATTAGCAGTCCAGTGCTTATCCTTCAGCACCACAACAGCTTTAAATAAATGCTTGAATGTGTACTCTAGAAAGGCTAAAGTTAAAGTAGCTGACAACACCAAGTGTTGGTGAGGACATGGAGCAACTGGACCTCTACAGCTGATGGGAGTGGAAAGCTGCACATTCATATGGGAGAACAAGTTTGTAGATTGTATAAAGTTACTGTATGGCCTAGCAATTCTACTCCTTTTACCCAATCAAAAACACCTAAATCCATTGCTGTCAAGGAGATTCTAAGTCATGGTGAACCCATGTATTACAAAGTAGAACTGTGTGCCATAGAAGTTTTTTTTTTATTATTTTTATTTTTGTGAGTGTAATCTTTACAGAAGTAAATCACCAGGCCTTTGTTCTGTGGTGCTACTGGGTGGATTCTACCCACCAGTCTTTAGGTCAGTAACGACCTAAACGACCTTTAGGTCAGTCAAACCCAAACCCATTGCAATCCAGTCAATTACAACTCATAGCGACCCTAGAGGACAGAATAGAACTGCTGCCCCATAGGGTTTCCAAGGCTATAAATCTGTACGGAAGCTTATGGCCACATGTTTCTCATGTGAAATGGCTTGTGCGCTAGAATGACTGACTTTCATCCAAGTGATTTAACCACTGCATCACCAAGGCCTCATCAAGCGCAAACCATTTGCACTTACTAGCTACCAAAGCATCTGTGCGCACAAAATTGTAGGTTTATTCATAGTCACTAAAAACCAGTAGCAAAAGAATTGCCCAGCTAGAACAGACAAAACACCCCCTTAGTCTAATTGAGCCCCCAATTTGGCGCTGTGGGTTAATGTGCTAGACTGCAAAGTCAGTTTGAACCACAAGGTTGGTGGTTCACCAACTGCTCCTCAGAAACCCTATACAGGGTCGCTATGGGTCGGAATCGGCTTGACGGCACTTAACGACAAGTCTAATCGAGCAGGAAGAAGAAAGACACTCACAAGGGGCATTTGAGATAATCCCCCTGCATGTTCCCTTGGGCTGTGGCAGTCTCAGTGGTGGTAATGAACAATAGGGGGACTGGGCAAGAAGGAAACCCTATATAGGGTCGCTATGGGTCGGAACCGACTCAACAGCACTTAACAACAACAACCAGTTTCTTCGAGCAACCCTGTGGTGAAATCAACCAGCCACTACTAAGTACTATTGTTATTAATAATACCAAAACCCAGACACTACACTGAGCTCTTCAGACACTGTCTTCCCATCTTTTCAATCACTCAATGAGATGAATATTGTTACCCCTATTTCACAGGTGAAGAAACATGCAACATGCCCTAAGTCACACAGCTGCTAACTGACAGAACCTGGATTCAGACACTGACCTTAACCACCTCTCTAATTTGCCTCCTACTAACTCCTACTAGGAGTCCTGGTGTGGCATTGTGGGTTAATGCACCAGACTGCAAAGCCATTTGAACTGCAAGGTCGGTGGTTCTAGCTTACCAGCTGCTCCTCGGAAACCCTATACAGGGTCGCTATGGGGCAGAACCGACTCAACGGCACTTAACAACAAATCCAAAGAAGCAGCAACACCAGAGATGGAGGCAGAGATGAGGGCGTGGAGAGAGAGAGCAGCTGAGGACTCTAGACACATGGGAAAAGAGGGACTGAATGCTGGTGGCGAGGAGGCAGGCTTGCAGAATGTGCTCTTTGGTTGTTTAAACAATTATATATTCCTGTGTGTTTTTGTGTACTGTTGAATGATGATTACAACGGAGGAGATTGTAATTATTGCCATGAAATGATGCATATAAAACCGGTGTTCTCCCATGTAAACTATCACCCAATTTACACTAAAAAATTAAAAAAAAAAAAGAGAGACATGCTGTTAAATGTCTGGGCCATAGAATAAGCAATGGACTACTAACTGCAAGTTGGGCATTTCAAATCCACCAGCTGCTCTTGGAAACCCTATGAGAGTGTAGCTATGAATTGAAACCAACTCGATGGCACACAACCACAACAGCATGTTGTTCTTCCCTGCAAACTCCTCATCCAGGTTCAGAGGTATTTTTATGGAAGTCTTCTCCAGACAATAGAAGTCTTTTCTCTGGGTTGCAGCTACGGGCACAATGGGGTGAAATGTTGCCTGATCCTGAGCTATTCAGTTGCCATTCAGACTGTTGTGATCCAGGGGGTTTTCATCCTGAGCTTCAGAAGCAGATGACCAGGCCTTTCTTCCTGGTGTGCCTTAGTCTAGACACTCACAGAACCTGTTGGGCACCATAGCAACCCACAAGCCTGCATGGACAGACGGCTGTTGGCTACACATGAGGTGCATTGGCCAAGAACCAAACTCAGGTCTCCCACATGGAAGGCGAAAATTCTCCCACTGAATTACCACTGCCTCTGTCACAGTTTAGAGTCACGTATTTTATTTGTGTGGTTATTTGTTTAATGTAGTATCTCCCCCTGGATATGTTAGCTCCAAGAGAGTAAGGCTTTGTCTGTGTCACCCGTGGTTGTAGCTCAGTGCCTTTTTAGACTATCTGGTGCTCCATATTTCTGAGTGGTGAATACGTGTGAGTTGGAGGCAGAAAGGTCAGATGGAGGGCAGGTAACTGTGGACAGGGCTCATGGGTGACTGTGCCTGGAGACAGATTGCACTGGGCACTGTGCTGCCTGGTCTAAATGTAGATACTGTGTACCCACATGTATTTTGGGGGACCAGCCACTGAGATAAACTCTGTATGTAGGAGTCCTGCAAAACTCCAATTAAGACATTTGACCCAAATTTGGATAAAAGTCTCTTTCCTGTGTCAAGTTGAGAGCTAATAATATACATTTATTCATAATTTATGAGGCCTAGTAAGTGGAAACAATTAAGGAAAAGGCCTGGGCAAAACCTATTTCTCTTGTGTCACATAAGCATTGTTGTTTTTTTCTCCCTGTTCTTTAAGGCAGTTAGTTACCAGCCCTCTCTGCTACCAGAGACGTTTATTGATGCTTGTTACCATTACTGTTAGCTGACATTTATGGAGTGCTTTCTGGGCTAGGCCATCATCCCATTGCTACGTTTCATCTTCACAAGAACCATACGAGGCCAGGATTGTTGTTGTTTGCATTTTACAGATGAGACTATTGAGGTGAAGAGACTTGCCCAAAGTCTCACAGCTGATGAGTGCGGATTATAATTCAGGCCTGCCAGACCTCCAAGGCCGACCCTCTTTATCACTGTGGTATTCTGTTTTTGTGTCACCCTCCCAACTCAGACCACTTTGGAAGATCTGCAGGCAATGCTTCCATTGTGTCTGTTAAGCTTGGGAGTCTAGGGTGGGGCCTGAGAATCCGCACTTCTACCAAGTTCTTAGGTAATGTTGATGCTGCTGGTCCTGGGACCTCACTTTGAGAACCATGGATTCAGATAACACTATTACCAGATTCCTTTATGATTCCTGCTACCTGCCCTCCTCCTTGGTAGGCTCAACCCTTCAGTGTAACTAAAGAGAAGATCGACGGGGCAGATCTTTACATTTCTCGGTTGAGCTACAAAATCAGGCTTGGCCAAGAAATGCCATGCAGCCATGCTCTAAGCATCATGAGTAAGCAAGTTTAGCTCTGACCTATTTCCTTCTTTCCTGTCTCCTCAGGGTGGAGGGTCTGGAGAAGAGCAACTGTGTGCTGACTTTCCGGAGCTTGACCTCTCCCAGCTGGATGTCAGTGACTTCGACTCGGCCACCTGCTTCGGGGAGCTGCAGTGGTGCCCAGAGAACTCTGAGACAGAACCCAACCAGTACAACCCTGATGACTCTGAGCTCTTCCAGGTACGCCCTCTCTTCAGCACATGCTTATGCAAAGACACCTCCTCACCTGCCAGAGCTCTTTGGGCCCTGGTTTTTTGGTCCTGGTTATGCACATGACTCTGTGTGATCTTGGGCATCCTCTGTGCCTTCACCAAGCCTCTATAGAGTGAAGACTGTAAAGAACTGTGGTCTGTATGCTTTCAGTCAGAGCTGAGCCCCTCCATGGGCCAACTGGGGTGTAAGTTGTACTCTGTTCCCTATATTAGCTCATTGAATCTTTATTACAACCCTGTGAGGCAGGCACCATCTTTCCTCCATTTAACAGGGGAATGTTAGATGAGAGTGGGACAGGGGCTCTGAGAAGTTATTTGCCTGTCAGTAGCTAAATTGGATGCAGCCCAGTCAGCCTGCCTCCGGAGTGCAGAGTTGTAACCGTGACGACACTCTAATTGGAATGACTCACATTTACTGACCAACTGCTCTGTGGCAGCAGACTGTGTGTATTAACTCATTTAGTTCCCTTAGTCTCCATGGGATATGTACCCTTATCTCCAGTTTTCAGATGTAACCAACTGACTCATAGCGACCCTAGAGAACGGAATAGAACTAGTCCGTAAGGTGTCTTTATGGGAACAAACAGCCTCACCTTTCTCCCAAGGAGTGCCTGGTGGATTCAAACCTCTTACCTTTCAGTTAGCACCTGAGCACCTTAACCACTGTGCCACCACGGCTCCTCAGATGCAACCAGTTGTTACATGCCATTGAGTTAGTTCTGACTCACAGCGATCCTGTATAGGATGTTCAAAGAACGGCTGGTGGGTTTGAACTGCCCAACATTGTGGTTAGCAGTGTAGTGCTTATCCTACACACCACACCAGGACTCATATTCAACCAGAGGTCTGTTCCAGTGAAGCAGAGCTTCTCGTGCCCCTGTGTGCACGTGCACACGTGCCTTAGGCACACGTGATGGTTGGCATTTCCTTCCAGAAGTCCTCTTACAAGGAATATTACACTGTCTGAGATTTGCTTCAGAATGGAGTAAGCTCTGCATGCATTTGTGGGCATGTGTACATGCGTTCATGTGTATGTATCGATATGCACATGTGTGTGGGGAGGGCATGGAAGGCAATAAATGAAATATGATCGACCATTTTAAAGCTGATGGTTCTTGAAATTTTCTCCCTTATGAAGATTGTGGGTAGAAGCTGCATCGCCCTGTGCTTACCTGATAATTTTATAATAACAGTAACAACTTATTGTTGTTGTTGTTAGCTGCCATCAATTTGGACTCCAATTCATTGGCACCCAGGCACGATGGAACAAGCCATTGCCTAGTCCTGCACCACCTTCATGGTCGGTTGTAGATTTAATTAGACCTTTGTGATCCACAGCGTTCTCATTGGCTGGCTTTTGGAAGTAGATCACCAGGCCATTTTTCCTAGTCACCCTTGCTCTGGAAGCACCACTGACAACTGTTCAGCATCTTGGTGGTGGTGGTGTGTGCTGTGGAGCCGGTTCCGACTCATAACAACCCTGCATAGGGTTTCTGAGGCTGTAAATCTTTACTGGAGCAGAAAGTCTCGTCTTTTTCCTGTGGAACAGCTGGTAGTTTCAAACTGCTGATGTTGAGGTTAGCAACCCGACTCATAACCACTATTCAGCATCATTGTTGTTGTTGTTAAGTGCCCTAGAGTCGGTTCCGACCCATAGCGACCCTGTACAGGGTTTCCGAGGGTGTAAATCTTTACGGGAGTAGAAAGCCTGATCTTTCTCCCGCGGAGCAGCTGGTAGTTTCGAACCGCTGACCTTAAGGTTCGCAGCCCGATTCGTAACCACTACGCTATTCAGCATCATAGCAACCCACAAAACTCCACTGACAAGTAGGTATGACTGCACATGAGGTACGTTGTCTGGGAATTCAACCCAGGTCTCCCACGTGGAAGGTGACGGTTCTGAAAGCAATATTGCTTTCAAACAAGGGCTTCCTGCATGCAGTGCCGGCCTGCCATGCCATGAGCATCACCCATGTAGTCCTCCTGGCGGGCTTGGTCATTCCTTCTAGAAGTGGGCTCTAGAGTCTATAGAGGGGAAGGCTTGTCCTAGCAATAAACACATAAACAAGTGGTCACTGTGACAAGTGTACAGACGGACAGAAATCTGGGCATGAGAAAAGAATCTAAGAGCTGGTGGTCAGAGAAGACATCTGAGGAAGAGACATTCAGCTAGCAGTAGAAAGATGGGAAAGCCACAGGAAGATCAAAGAGCAGGGGCTGAGCGTTCCCAGCAAAAGAAACATTAAGTGCAAAGCCAGGAAGCAGGAAAAGCTTCAAGTGCTGGAGTGACAGAAGGACTGAAGGGTAAGTAATGCATAGGGGAAAGTTCTAGCAGGGGCCAGATCATGAAGGGCCTTGTGGACTTGGATTTTTCCTGAGACGATTGTAACCCATCAGGAGCCCTGGTGGTGCAATGAGATAGTTAAGCACCGGGGCTGATAACCTAAAAGTGGTTTGAATCCACCAGCTGCTCCAAAGGAGACTGACTGATGGGGCAGTCTGCTTCTGTAAAGATCTACAGTCTTGGAAACGCTATGAAGCAGTTCTGAGTTGTCGCTATGAGTTGGAATTAACTCAATGGCAATTGGCTGGTTTTTCATTCGAACTTATATGTAAACTGTTAGTATCCCATTTTGCAGGTAAGGAAAATGAAGCTTGGAAAGTTTAAGTAAGTTGCTGGAGGTCACACAGACAGGATGAGTCAAGATGAAGACTCTAAAACCTCGGGACCCCCATTCCCTTCCCTACTATGACAAACCCTTCCGCCAGCCCAGTGAAGATTCAGAGTTGGAGGGCAGCGGGCCACAGTGGCAAGAGCACTGGACTGGGCTCTCTAGACCTGCCTCCACTTAGGGACCTTCATTTCCTACAGTGGGGAAGGTACTATGCTGCTCCTTCCCTCACAGAGGGCCACCCTCCAGAAGTAATGAGAGGTTACAGAGAAATCATGCATCAGAGGGGTTGAAGTACAGCTTGCTCCAAAAGCCAGTCCGCATCTAGACTGCTCAGCCTCCCAGGATACTCAGAGATGGGCCTAGACCCACCAACAAACCCCTATGTGTATGAAATGGTTTTACACCCAGGTGAGCCTCCAAGCTCCCAGCCCAGTGAGGAAGACAGGGTCTTTGGCCCTGCTCATACCCACCAACACACCCTGTTGTTGTTAAGTGCCATCGAGTCTGTTGCAACTCGTAGAGACCCTGCATAGGGTTTCCGAGGAACAGCTGGTGGGTTTGAATCACCAACCTTGTGGTTCACAGTCCAGTGCTTATCCTACAGTGTCACACCAGGACTCCTTGCCCCCTGCATACATGTAGTTATTTGATTAGTGTCTCTCTTCCCCCCGAGACTGTAAACTCTGTGAGCATGGGGCATGTCCTCCACATTGTTCATTGTTGTATTCCTCAAGTGTCAGGTACTCTGACAAAGTGCCTGGCACTTAATAAATATTTATCAGATGACTAAATCCTTCGTTGCCCAGCTTCTGTGTTGGCCTTTCCCAAAGCAGGTGGTCAGTTTTTTCAGCTCATGAATTCCTGCCACATTTGTTTGTGTTACCACCTAGAGCCATGTGTGTGTATGAGAGAGAAAGAGAGAGAGAGAGAGAGAGAGAGAGAGAGAGAGAAAGAGAGAGAGTGTGTCCTTCACTTCAGACGATGAACTTCTTGAGGACAAAAAGGCATTTTACTTATCTCTAGGGCTCTAGAGGATTCCTGGTGTGGCACTATAGGATCAGCACTAGACAGCAAACCTCAAGGTCGGCAGTTCAAACCCCCCAGCTGCTCCTCAGAAACCCTATACAGGCTCACTATGAATCGGAACTGACTCGACGGCACTTAACAACAACAGGGCTCTAGAACATTTTAAAGACTTTGTTCTACTTGTTGAGTGAAGTTACTGATTATATTTTCTTTCTTGCCAAGGGCCAAACATAACTCATTCCAAAAACCTTAGACTGCGATTCAGGGGTGGCAGGTATTAATCCCCTCTCTGACACTAAGGATACGCATTGGACTGCTAACCACTGGACTTCTAACAAGGTTGGCTGTTCAAACCCACCAGTTGCTTCTCGAAAATCATATACAGGGTCACCATGAGTCAGAACAGACTCAATGGCACGTAACAACAACAACTGCCACCACCAACTCAGACAGTTTCCTCATTTGGCCAGTGAGAATCATAGCGCTGGTCTACCTCCATCACAGCCTTGTAATAATAAATGGCATATTCCTACGGAAACACACTGGAAGCCTGGAAAACCAACACAGTGACTAAGATTGACAATTCTTTGGGGACAAGGACTTAGCCTTTAGTGTCTCTCTGTGCCCTAGAGTCCCCAGCGTCAGGGACACAGCAGACACCCAGGAGTCCGCAGGCATTCATTCAGTTCTCCTGCCACAATTTGATGTGTGGCCTTTGGTTGGACCTCAGTTTCTCCATGCGAGGAATGAGGAAGAGACCTAGACTGTATCAGTATATCAGTGCTTCCTAATCTGTTGGTGGAAATGGGAGGATGCCTCTGAGTTCTTCTAGATTCTCATGGAAGCTAGGTACCTAATTCCTGAAAACAATGTGTAGATTCTCACCGCCCTGGGTTTCCTGGGCCCAATTAAACCCTCTGAGCAGGGGAGGATCTCTGAATGTTCTTCCAGGCCCGAAGGCTTAAAATCTGCACTGTGACATTCCTTCCAGTCACTCGGGGCCCTCCGATTGAAGCATTTTCCCTCCGATTACTTGAAGGCTCTTCTTCTCCAGCTTGAGATCAGCTCAGGAAGGTGGGGGGTGGGGCTGAGTCTATTAATATCCCTTCCTCAGCTGATTAACTCTCCATTAATTTGCACTCCGTTTCTAAGCAGAGCAGAGAGACTTGAGCTAATAGTCTTAGGGAAGAGGAGAGTGGCAACTCTGAGCCTCTGTGATGTATTACCATAGGGTACTGGGGCCAGCTGTGTGCTGGAGGGAGCCTGCTTCCCACCCAGAGTCAAGGCCTCAGCCCCTGCCAGGCTCATCCCAAGCTGGAGCTACCCAGCCTGGCGGGGACTTTGTGAGGTCTCTGTCCATCCTGAGTTCTAGTCCTTGACCCTACCACCAGCTGGTTGCATGACTTTGACAAGTCTCTTCCCTCCCTTGGCCTTCATTTCCCCAAATCTGTTAAAGGGGAGAGTTGAACTAAAAGATTCATGGTTAGGGTTCTTCTTGAGTGCCCGCTAAGATTGATTGGTAGTCGTGGTACTGAAGGAGTGGGTGCCACAATTGATTAGTGATGCCTGCTGTGGACCAAGGAGTGGGAAGCAGTGGTGCCCAGGTTCTGTGTTTGACATTCCTGGTTACTTAAGGATCCCTGAGGCCCCTTCCAGCTCTGGTGTTTGTAATAACTCCTATCTCTGAGCCGTTTGCTACTTTCCCAGTGAACAAGGGAATTCTCATTTCATCTAAACCTGATCTGTGCTGTCTGCATTCCTTCTAGAATATGTTGTTTGAGACACTCCTCTCTGTGTCTCTCCACTATCCAGAGGTCATTCTTTTGTCCATTCATTTGCTTGGCTGCCCCCCATGTCCCAAGCCCTGAGCTAGGCACTGGAGCACTCTACAAGGCAGCTTTCATCACCACGTCAAAACTTGGCCTTCACCATAACCTGGGAGGGACGCTGGCTAAGGATCATGGGAGGGAAATGACTTAGCCAAGGTCACCCAGTCTAGCAGAGTCCCACATGGTCAACTTCAGGAGTGGTGATTAAGCCCCCCAGTTCCAGGATCCTAACTCCAATGGGACTGGACAACTTATTCTGGCAATGTAGGGTTGGGGGTCTGGCTTGAGGGTGGAGGGAGGCTTGTGGGTGGCCTGTGCAGCCTCAGGAGCTGCATTGCATTCTAGAACCAGAATCAATGGTGCAGATTGCTCCCTGGGGCCTAGGTCAGTCCCACCCCATAGCTTCTTTTGACCTTACTTTTATTCTTAGCACTGTTCCAAAAATTACAAACACGTTTGTTCTTCTCTCCTCGAGTCCCCCCTTCAAATTACTCAGCTGCTGCTCTGGCTGCAAGGCCTGGAACAGATTTAGTGCAGCCAAAGGCAGTCACGAGATGCGTATTTCAGATGAACTTCCTGAAGAAAGAATAAACAGCCTGACCTGGGATGGGATACTGAGGAGGCATCATGTGACAGAAAGTGCCTTCCGCCAGGATGGACTCAAGAGCTGGAGTTTACAAAATGAGGCGCTAAGACCATCCATTGCCTTTAGAAGCTGTGTGATCTCCAGGCTCCAGGGCCTCTGGGTGTCGGGGGCAGCGGGTTGGTGTCTGTAGTGGGTTGGGGGTGCACACTTAGCCGGGTTAGAGATCTAAGACCATCAGAGCAGGCCGAGCCTTGCTTCATCTGTGCAGGTGTGTTTGGTAGAAGTCCTGGTCTTTATTTGCTGAGTTACCCTGGACAAGTTGCTGAATCTCCCTGTGTCTTCTTTGTTACCTCAATTGCAAAATGGTGATTAGAATAGCACATCACTCACAGGGACCCTCTGAGGCAGTATTTACTAAGCCTTGTTTCCTTTCCTCTCCTCCAAGCTCTTTGCCCCAGGCTTTTGCACTGGGTCTCCCCACCACCCCCCTCCCTAGGAATCCTCTTTCTTCAGCCCTTTGCCTGCCTGGTGCCTTCTCGTCTTTCAGGCTTAAGTTTAAGTATCAGTTGTTCAGAGAAGCCTTCTTGACTACCTGAAATAGCCTGTAAATATTCATCACATTCTTATTCTCCGTGACGGTTTCCTTTTATTTTCTTCCCAGCCCTTCTCTCTGAAATGATCCTGTTTGCTCACCTTTCTGTTCCAGGAGGGACAGGGCTGTGTCAGTCTTGTCATGCTCCATCACCAGTGTCCAGCACAAGGCCAGGCACAGAAAAGCATTCAATTACATGTGGGACAGGAGAGGGATAAACAGCCCATCACCACTACCACCATTATAGCACCATCCATTGTTGTAATAGTAGCAGCAGTAGTAGTAAAAACCAATTGCTGTTCCCACACTTGCAGATAATACCCACTTGACCTGGCTTCAATGACTGGATGATCAGAGCTCAACTAGAAGAAGAAAGAAGAGGAAAAAAAGAGTAATCTGATACAATTTGATGAACTTGACCTACACCTATGGAAGCAGTAGCTCAAAAGAGGGAACAAATCTTTACAGCAAGGATCATTCCCACCCCCTCCATACACAGAGTAGACAGGGATGGGCAACTTGGACATTGGCTACCCAAAGAGGAGGGGCTACAAAGGCAGGAAGTGACTGACTGAGCACAATAAAACACTGGAGCACTCTACAAAGTGTGGAGGAAGGTAGAATCTCCAGTGAGTAGTATCCAATCTGCCTAGGTGGGACTGATGAAAGGAAATGCAGATAGGTCTCTTGTGATACAATAGTGAATGATTGTTATCAGGACTGTTTGTGAGGGTTGGAAATGTAAAGGTAGAAGTTTTGTAGCAGAAGAAGGGGCGTGATTAACTTTGCAGTCTAGGAACAGAGGTCCCTGGGACCATCAAGGGAGAAGAGCAGAGAGCAGGACCCTACCCAGAGAAGCAGTGACACCAGAGATGGAGGCAGAGACAATGACGTGGAGAGATGGAGCAGCTGGGGACTTTAGACCCAGAGAGGGAGAGGGGCTGTGTGCTGACAACCGGGGGGCAGGCTTGTAGGGTATACCCTTTGGTTGGTTGATGATGTATGGAGTGGTTTGTAACCATGGCAACGAAATGATTATACGATAGGATGAATGTAAAGCTAGTGTTCTCCCATGTAAACTATCACATAATTCACAATAAAACATTTAAAAAAAAACAACAACAAAACAATTGCTGTTGAATTCTCACTCATGGCCACACCACGTGAATCAGAGCAGAAGAGTACTCAGTAGGGTTTTCAGTGGCGGGTTTTTTAAAGTCGTGTCCAGGTGCTTCTTCTGAGGTGTCTCAGGCCAACATGTTAATCATTTGCACCACCCAAAGACTAACAGGCAGTAGTGACCATGAATGACTGTTACATTCTAGACACTACTTCTCAAGCATTTTACATTGACAAGGGAGCGTCACAGAATTTGTGGAAGATGGAATTGGTCTATGAACAACTTTTGCAGCCCCCTCGTATTCATTCATTGATGAGTTGGAGTCAACTCAAGGGTTATGACTTTATCCTTATAAGGGGTTTTGTTGTTAAATGTCGTGAAGTTGGTACTGACTCATTGCATAGTGGGCTGCTAATCTCAAGGTCAGCAGTTCGAAACTACCAGCAATTCTGTGGGAGAAAGATGAGGCTGTCTGCTCCCATAAAGATTTAGAGCTTCAAAAACCCTCTACAGGGTCACTATGAGTCGGAACCAACTCCACGGCACTTAACCACCATAGCGACCTTGTATAGAGTTTCTGAGGAGTGGCTGGGAGGTTTGAACCATCAAACTTGCAGTTTCAGTACAGGGCTTACCCTACAGTGCCACACCAGTTATTATCCCATTTGACAGATGAGAAAACTAAGTAACTTGTCCAAGAACTCAATTGGTAAATATCCAAGCTGGGATTCAACCCTAGGCTTCAGAACCTAAGCTGCTAACTAGACATGAACTAAATAAATACCTCTCGAACATGAGTAAACAGGATGAGTCAGGCTTGGTAGCTGTTCCATTTTTGCTGTGCTTATTCCATTGCTTTCCTGGTTGAACACTGACACTTGTGACTTTGGGGTGGGGATGCCCAGCCTGTGGGAGAAGGGCTGTGTCCAAGGACTGGCGCTATCTTGGGTGGAGGGGCTGGCATTTCTTAGGAGCACAGCTCTGTGCATCATCACCTGCTGCCTGCTCATAATCATTCAGTGATTCTTAGAGTTGATAACACATTTATTGGGCATCTGCTATCCTGGAAATACTGAGCAGATAGAGGAGGATATTGTGTGTGTTGGGTGCATGTTGTATATGTTACATGTTTGTTGTATGTGTGGTGGCTGTGGTGTTTGGGTGTGTGTGTACTGTGTGTGTATGTGTGGTGTGTGTGATATATGTGTTCTCTGTAAGTTGTGTATGTGTGTGCATATGTGGTGTGGTCTGTGTAAGGTGTGCATGATGTGTATGAGGTGTGTGTGTGAGTTGTGGTGGGTGTGTGGTATATGTGTGTGAGCTGTGTATGGTGTTTGTGGTGTGTGTGTGTTGTGAGTTGTGTGGTATGTGTGTGGCAGGATAGTAATGGTGGAGTAGCTGCATGTGCAAAAACCAAATGAAGAGGAAATCAAGTAGATTTCAAGACAAAACAAAATTGAATTTACAACAACAACGGTTTTCATCATGAGATGGCTGAGTGCCCGGTGCCCACTCACCTCGCTTCCTCCCCTCCTGTGTGTCCTCCCTGCAGATCATCGACAGTGAGAACGAGGCTCTCCTGGCAGCTCTCACCAAGACCCTGGACGACATCCCTGAAGATGACGATGACGTGGGCCTGGATGCTTTCCCGACACTGGATGGTGGGGACACACTCTCCTGCGCCTCAGCTTCCCCTGCCCCTTCATCTGCGCCCCCCAGCCCCTCCCTGGAGACGCCTCCTGCTCCAGCCCCCGAGGTGGATGAGCTCTCGCTGGTAAGCCTAGTTCCAGCTGCCAGAGAGGTGGTGGAGGCCTGGGAGTTTGTGCCTGGTTGTGAGGGTGGTGAGTGCCAAGAAATCAGCCCCAGCCCCATCGGGGTTTCTGCATTACTGGTAACCTGGCCCTAGGTGTCTCCTTTACCAGCGTGGAGGTGGATGAACCACATGAGGCTTTCCTTTGGATTCTGCAGGCCCTTTGTGATTTCATGGGCTGACCTTTGTTCAGTGTTAACCCCCAAGAAATGATGCACAAAATAATTTGTCCCATGTGGAAAAATCAAGAAGGAAATGTAGATGGTCAAAACAAAACTTTCTGGCCCTCTCACAATTACTTGTCCTTCCCCAGAGGTGGCCATGGTTACTGATCTTCTGTATGACTTCTTTATTACTCTTTATTTAAACTACAAATGGAAGCCTATATTATATATTGTTCTGTGCCTTGCTTTTCTCAGTTTTCCATGTGTCTTGTAAACGCTTAGAGATGAGCTTACAGAGCTTCGAGTTTTATCCTTTTTGTTGGCTGCATAGTGTTCTTCTGTAGGCTGTACCATAACTCATTTAGCCAATCACTGTTAACGTATATTCATTTTGATTCCACCACTCCATTGTCATAGCAGTGCTGTAACAACATGTAAGGGAACAAATTCCTAGACACTGGAATCTTGAGTCTATAGTGAATTTTCACTTTAGGCAGATGCTTCCAGAGGGCCTTCCCAAGAGGATTTACACTCCAGCCAACAAACAGTTAATGCTGCCTGTATGCGTGTATGTGGGATGTGGAAATGTGTGCGTGGAATAGTAGTTTTCTGAGGAGAGGGCTCAGATTTTATCAGCTTCTCAAAGGGGTGTGTATCTCCCCACAAGTTGCTGACAGCAGCTGCCCTCTGCCCCAAATCATGGCGTATGAAGTTCACCTTGGCTCAGTCTCTTGGGTTCTACATCTTGGGCTTGGCAGTACTCAACTAGAACATCAGACTGTTGGAGCTAGGAGGATTCTTAGGTCTTGGAAAGTTTGGGCTGGAAAGACCCTCAGTGACTATCAAACCCAACTCTGGAGAAACTGAGGCCTCGAGTGGGGAGGGACCCCATGGTCACCTAGTGTGTCAGTGTGCCAGTCCAGACTAGAGCCCATATAGTCTGGTTTTGGGTTCAGGACCCTTTTCCTTGTTTCTCACTGCCCTCAAGCTTCCCAAAGTTGTGCGAAACAAATATTTATTAAGTATGTACTGTATGTGAGGAGCTCTGGTAGAGTAGTGGATACGAATCGGGCTGCGAACTGCAAGGTCAGCAGTTCGAAACTACCAGCTGTTCTGTGGGAGAAAGATGAGGCTTTCTGCTCTCGTAAAGATTTACAGCCTTGGAAACCCTGTACAGGGTCGCTATGAGTTGGAACCAACTCCACAGCACTTAACAACAACTGTATGTATAAAGAGCCCTGGTTGTGAAGTGAGTTACAAGTTAGGCTGTTAACCGCAAGGTCAGCAGTTCAAATCTACCAGTCACTCCTCAGGAGAAAGATGAGGCTTTCTGCTCCTGTAAGATTTACCGCCTCAAAAACCCTCTACAGGTTATCTATGAGTCAAACCTATTCGATGGCACACCATCACCACTGTATGTATGCCAGACACAAGACTATGTTCCGCCGATGTTGTGTGTTCTGCTTCTGTTCAGACAACCTGACCCCAGCCCCACCATATGTTCCTTAGGCCTGGACCATATCCTCTGTATGCCTCAGCTTTCTGATCTATAAGATGGGGTTAGTAATAGTGCCCCTCCCAAAGGCTGATAGCATGTAAAGCAATTACTCATGTGCCTGGCACATAGAAGTTGCTTGATAAATGCCAACTAAGTAGTATTGGCACTGCCAATTAGTAGTATCAGCAACAATAATTCTCAGTGCCCTTTCTGACTGGGGCCTCTGGAGAGGGACCAAGCTTTGGAGGAGCAACAAGCAACCTCTACTATTGACAGGTGACTTCTCACCCAGGCCTTAGACTATCTTCATTCATTCTACACACATTTATTTGAGCACCTGTGTTTCAAGTATGATGCTAGGCACAGAGCAAACAGACTCACCATGTAGACTTCTGGTATACTGACAATTCTAGAACGGCTCTGAGAAGTTATGTAGTCCCTAAATTCTTAATTTGAATCCATGGACATCTGAGGTCAGTAGCTTTTGTTACATACTTAGAGGGATTCCTAAAAGCAGGTTCAAACCCATTCATTTTGTTTAACTGCCCCCATTATACCAATGGAGAGACAGCCTCAAAGAGTGGGACAGGACTTGCCCAAGGTCTCACAGTAAGTTAGGGCTAAGCAGGGGTCAGAGCCAAGTCTCTTTCTCCAGTCCAAAGATCTTTTCCTTTCCAAAGTCAAAGAATCACAGATCCCTGGGACCATAGGGGGACATCTTAACTCCTAAAGAGTGTGGGGTGGCTTATTCTTGGGTTCCTGGGCCTTTGGTACTTCTGAGGTGATTTGGGGTGGTACATCCCCCGAGGAGACACTTGGTGCTGTAATAAAAACCCATTGTATTTCCTGACTTGCTCTCATCCTGGTGGGAGTGTCCCTGGTGGAACTTCCAGATTCATTTTAGCACCTGCTCTTGGAGCTTAGAGACCCTCTGTACCTGGCAACCTAGAGGGGACAGGGACCCTCTCCCTGAGTATGTTGTGTGCATGTGTGTGTGTATTTTGACAAGTCCCACTCATTTCTGGGACTCAGTTTCCCACTGTAGAATTAAAATGTTTAGTTAGATAAATAACATTTTAAAAAAAAGGTACTTTATTGTTCTTTTTCTACTAGAAACTCAGTAGTCTCTAGTAATAGTCTGAATAGTTTCTATAAAACATTTGAAAACTCAAGCAAACATAGCTGTGTAGTATACTTCTGTTTCTGTAAAAATATCTGAGTAGTTTGGAGGTGATATGTATATGTGTGTGTGTGTGCCTGTCTGTGTGTGTATATATAGATAGATAGATACAGATATATAGATATAGATATATAGATATAGATATGTCTATCTCATGGTCGGTTCACAAGAAAATGGGTAACAGTGATTGCCTCTGGGAAGGAGAAAGAGGAGCTGGAAAGGGAG